CCCATCAGCACCCCATGGAAGTAAGCAAATGTCCCCAAGCCCTCTCAGATACCCACAGCTCACACCCGTCCTTTAATCCTGTTTTCTTTGGGGGCTCTGTTTGCCAACACCGTGTCAGGATTGTAGTTCTCAGTATGAGTCTATTACTGTCTAGAAGTTCTGCTTGGTTCATTCCCAAGTTGGCTGTGTTACTTTTTAATAGTTTCCTGTCCTACACGGCCCTTCCTGTCTTGAAGTTTATGTCTTTAATTGAGGTGAGCGGTGCTGACCTGCCTGTCATCCATCTAATGAGCTCACTCTCTCCAGCCAAGAGCACTGGCTTCTGTCTCTTGTCACTCGGTTGTTCTCCCTGGCCGTGTCCCTGGGTTGTTTAAACCCAGTGGGCTTTGCTGTCTCTGTGCCCACCGAGGACATCCTGAAACCTTGTAGCATTCCCAAGGCTTGGGTGGACAGCCCCCAAGGTCACAGTCACAGGTGAAGCCATTCCACGTCCACAGGTATTTTTACTCCTCTTTATTCCCCCCCTCTCTCTTCTCATCGTCAATTCCCTTCTCCATGCTCTTCAGGGAAACTCAGAGTAGCAAGCATGCTCGTGGGGGTGTGGGTTGTTTGGTAGTGTCTGCCCATTCCCAGGGTGTAAATCCTCCTGCACGCTCAAGCTTTCCAGCAGACACCAACCTACTGCCCTTGGGTCAGAAGATAACTGTTCCTTTGCAGGGCTCATAAAAGGGGACCACGGAAGGATCTCTAGCCTGTGACTTCCCATCATGGCCAGGTGGCCATCAAAGCTAGTTCAGGTCAGGCCTGCTCAGTACCATAGGGGAGATGCCACCACTGAAGAGGTGGTTCTTGTGTCTTCTCTGGATCTGCGTTTGCCCTCATGGCTTGACTCGCGGCACACCCGCCCTGGTTCCAGCCGTGCAGATCCTTGAAGGCAGTGCATTGATATTTTTTTTTTTTCTAATTCTAGCCAGCATTTTCTTTTTGTTTTTTATGGAGGGTTGCCTCAGGGGGGAAGCTCCACCTTCAATGTCAGCAGAGGTGTGACTTGATCTACCTGCTGATTTCTCTGCCATCCAGCAGGCTTCAGGCCCACGACTGGAGAGAAACACATCCAGGGCCTGTCCCTGCCATATTTTTTTGGCAAAGGACAAAGGTGGATCAGTGAGCCTGGTCCACCCACTGAGACCCAGTCCATGGCTCCCCAGTGCCCAAGGCTTAAATCTGAGGATAGAGTCAAGAGGACATTCCCCTAAGGGTAGATGGGCACCCCTGTTCTCATACCCACCCTTGCCAAGGACTCCAGGTCTCCCTCACACTGTGAACGTGCCAGTTAGCGGGCAATGCTTCCCCGCCCAGGCCCTACACTAGTGACAACATATCCCAGCCCTAAGTGCCATGCCTCACCCTCTGAGAGTTGTGTGGGTGGAAGAGCGAGCGTGACAAATGAGTGCCAGATTGAGTTCCCATGCCACACCTGCTGCTCAAACATCTGGATCAAGTGTCTACAGCCCCTCATCACCCATGTGGGTACACTGAGGCAGACCTGGAGGTCTGAGAGAAAGTAGGAATAACTCTGTGCCCTGTGTGGTCAGCCATAGAATGGGCACACATCTGTCTCAAGCTCACATCTGTCCAGGCAGCCATTGCCAGCGAGGAAAGGCAGGTGGGAATCAGGGCATCAGGCAGGTGGTAGGTGTAATTCTCTCTTACTTTGTCCGACTGGTGCACAGGGATGAGGTGGTGATTTGATGCCCTCAGCCATAGGAACCCTTCAGCGGACCTCCATGTCTCTGTTCCCCAGCCCCTTTTTCTTTCCTTCTTTTTTTGAGATGGACTCTCGTGACTAGCTTTGACCTTGCTCTCTTGTTGAAGCTGGCTTTGAACTCCTGTCTCTCCTGCCTTTCTGGGGTCACAGATTTGTGCGACCTGCCTGGTCAAAGTTCTAGTTTAGTTTTCTTTCTTTCTTTTTTTCTTTCTTCCATTGGTTGTTTTTAAGACAGATTTACATTGCAGCCCAGGCTGGCCTGGAAATCAGTATGTAGCCCAGGTTAGCATCATGGGATGGATACCTCTTGAACTCACAGTAATCCTTCTGCTTCAGACTCTCAGATGCTAGGATGACAGGAATGAGCCACCACACCTGGCTTCTTCTGTAAAGAAGGTTCTAAAACCAATTCTAGTGAATTCACAGTCTTTTCATCTGGGGGTCAAGACAGAAGCCTGTAACTCCTCGAATGCGCTCTAAATGGAGCTAAGTGGCTTGACCTAACCCATCAGATTATGTTAGGACCTAAACCTATCCCATCTGGATGGGGGCTTCTTGAGGACCTATGCCTTCACAGATCCCTGGGGCCTAGCTAGGTTGTGCCTTGACTGCCTTATGCCCATGAGTTTGTGGTCTCAAATGTCAAAGCTGAGGCTGAAGGGACCTGGCCATGCCCCAGGCTCCTCCTACTGTGGGCGTGCTGTGGTCAGGCTGGGTACCACGTTTTTTAAACATCTTAGTGTGTTTTTGCTAAATGGGTCCCATGACCCCATTCACCAACCAGATGTTTCCTTGGGAGAGACCCGAGCGCTCACGTCAGCAGGGTCCACTTTCCCAGGGACTCTGGGACTGCAAAGAATATTTTAGGCCTTTGCGTGCGGGTGAACACTACACAGACATCAAACCGGGTCTGTAGTGGGAAAACTAGCCTCTACCACACGTGGTCATAACTGGCCTCTACCACTCGTGGACCACAACAGCCACCTCCCCTGACTCAGAGATGTCCCACGACATCAGCATGTGAGTCACCAGGGCTTGGGAAGTATGTAATGGGGCTGGCTAAAGCAGGCACAGCCTCACCTGCCTCAGAGCCAGGCTGAAGCTGTATTTAGCGCTTTCAGTCCCTTGTATTGACTTTGCCTGCAGGCCGAAGGCTGAGGCTCCATTGCTAAAGGCACCAGAGCCATGTCTGAATTCAAACCAGACCTCATATCGCCTGCTTTATAGGTGAGGGAGTAGGGTCCTGAGAGGTTAAGACACTAGCCATAGACTTTTCAGTCTGAGCAGGATTCTGACCCTGTCCTCCCAAGCCCATCCCTCCCAAGCAGACAGACCAGAGCATTCTGCCCCAAGACTCTGGAATGCCTTCTCTATCCTGGTGTGATGTGTCTCTTCACAGAGTCAGACCAAGCCTGTGGCCAAAGCCCTCTATCCTCCAGCTCTGGCCTGAACTATCTTGCTTGTGTGTGACAGAATCTCAAGTAGCCCAGGCTATCCTTACATTCCCCATGAGGCTGAGGATGACCTTGAACTTCTGATCTCCTGCCTCCACCTCTGGAGTGTTGAGATTACAGACCTATAGCATTCCACTCAGTTTATGGGGTCCTGGAGCTTGAACCCAAGGCCTCACACATGCCAGGCAAGCAGTCAGGCAGCTTTGCCACCTCTCCATCATTTCTGCCAGGTGAGAGCTGGCAGGTGCCAGAGGCACCAATTTTGTGGCTTTAGCTCTGGACAAGTATGTTTACTTCCCCACTTCAGATGATTGGTTAATCTGGTTGACTGATTGGTTGTTTGGTTGAAACTCACTATGTAGCCCAGGATAACAGAATAGCCTCAGAAAGAATCCTGCTCTGGCATCCCAGAATGTTTTCTCTTATAGGTCATCCTCAGATGACACTGACCTAGTTGTTCTTGCAGCCCAGCAGCCTGCAGCATACCTGTGAGCTGGACCACTCACTCCACCTGTGGTCCTGTGGTGGGCAAGCCACACTGGCCGTTCTGTACCCCATGACAAGCTCCTTAAGGTCTCGGAACTGTAGACCCTGTAGAGCCTCAGGCAGAGCTCCAGGCTCCCAATGAGAGGTCTTGTGAAAGATCTAGTCAATGTCCTGAATGTTTGTGTGACTCCGTAGACACCTGTCCCTTGATAAAGAGCCTTTCCCAAGGGATAGGTGTCTACAGAGAACCAGGGGGTGGGTGTAGCACCTCTGCCTTTGGGGAAGCACAGCTTGGGTGTGAATTGGGTGGACCCTGCTAGCCAAGAGATGGAAGGTTAAAGGGGCTTCCCCACAAGCTTAACTGTCCCTTCTGTACGGAAACAGGCAATCCTGCTTTTCTTTTCCGGCTGGTGGTAGCAACGTCTTACGAAGCCACTAACTTGGCTGCCAGTTAGTAGCCTGTGGGTTCCCTCCTGTCACTCAACAGAGAAGCCTGGCTTATGGCGATAAAATACCCTCACAAAGGCTTACCGGGAAATGGGTTTATATCCATTGCAGGCAAGTCAGGGCAACAGAGGCTGAAGCAACTGGTTACATAACATCTACAGTCAAGAGCAGTTAGTAATACGTGTGTGCTTATACTTAGCTCACTTTTCCTATTCTTATGCAGCCTAGGCTTTCATGCCTAGGGAATGTCGACGCCCACAGTGGGCAGGTCTCCCAACTCATCAACACAGTCTATCATGGAAACATGTCTACAGGCCAGCATGATGTAATAGTGTCGAACTGACAAAACTAACCATCACACTTGTCCCAAGTCAAAACAGCACTGGACTTGAACTCTTGGTGTCCCATGTCAGGCCATTAGCACCTTAAGGATAATGGTCATAGATACACAAGGAGACTGGAGTTGTGCTACAAGCAGGCACAGAGGACTGCATGACCCCCACAGGAGTACCTGTTCAGTGAGCTCTGGGAGGCCCAGGGCCTGGAATCATGAATGGTCCTCTGCTGTTACCAGGCTTGGGGGGTGGGGGGTAGAGAGCTCTCACTTAACCCCTGAAAACTTCCCAACTCTTTTATACCCCTAAGATCTCTCCTGGCTGTGGCCTGGCAACCCCTGGATTGTTGCATAAAGTGCTAATATGTAAGGAAGGTCCATAGCCATGCTGGGTGCTGGCATGGCGCCAGGCAAAGGCAGCCGCACCTCATCAGTCATCAGCTGGTTACCAAGGCCGACAGGATTTCCAGCTGCCAAGCACCCTGACCGATAGCCCGTTTTCTCTCTCTAGACCAAAATCCATGGTGTCGGGTTTGTGAAGATCCACGCGCCCTGGCACGTGCTCTGCAGGGAGGCTGAGTTTTTGAAACTGAAGATGCCCACAAAGAAGGTTGGTGGGAACGTTTATGTTACACGCTGGTCTTGGTAGGGGACACCTGAAGGCAGAATCTTCACGGCAAAGCCCTGATCACCTGGAAAAGGGCAAGAAGGACAGAGGACACAAGGAGACAGTTCTGTCCACTGGGAAGTGTCTGACCCTACCCAGTTAGCCTTTAGAGGATCTCATGATCTCATGACTGCCTGTAATGTCAGCTCTAGGGAATCCAGCACACTCTTCTGGTCTTTGAAGGTACCTGTACATATTTGTGTTTACAAATATGTAAACACACACACACATACAGAGGGAGGGAGGGAAAGAGAGAGTGGGAGAAGAGAGGGGAGAGGCACACACACACACACATGCAAACAATTTTTTTTTTTTTTGAGACAGGTCTCTGTGTGTAGCCTTGGCTGTCCTGGAGCTTGCTTTGTAGACCAGGCTGGCCTCGGACTCACAGAGATCCGCCTGCCTCTGCCTCCCAAGGGCTGGGATTGAAAGCACATGCTACCACGCCCAGCTATAAAAATCTTAAAAAAAGAAAGAAAGAAACCTAAAACCATACCCCACCAGGACACCAAGAGAAGGTCCGGGCAGACAAGCTGTCCTCTCTGCTCCAGGAATTTAACCAGAACAAATATAGTCCAGCTTGAGGCCCTGCTTCTTTGATGCTTGTGGGGTCTCGAATAATTTATCAGATTCAATTTAATTACATTTTCAAGCTTGCTGGGATTTTTCCTTTTAATCTCTGAAAACTTTATGGCTGAAGAGCAGCCTGCCAGGGAAGCTGGGCTTGGAGTCCATACTTATGTGTGTGGGTGGAAGGGAGGACTGCAGGCCAGCTTCTCAGATCCACCGAAGCCGCCTGGATTACAACTTTGGAAACAGAAGAGACATTTGGGGCGAATGTTTTCTAGAATGTGTTATAACTGAGCTCTTGGCCCAACTCTCCTAACATGCTGAGCTCTTTGGGTACGCCTGAAACAGTGTATGCGGGGCGGGGGGGGGGCACACTGGCTGTCTGGGTGCTGTGCTCCCAGGTGTTCTGCTTCCAGGAAGGACTATGTTTTCCTGACCCTCTGAGAATAAGCACTCCGAGTTAGTCACATTACACAGTGCCCTGACAAAAGCAACTTAATAACCAAAGGATTTATTTGCCTCTCGGTTTGTGGAGCTACACAGCCTTATCCCTGTGTGGACGGCAGGGAGGCAGGAGTGTGAGACAGCTGCATACACAATCAAGAAGCAGAGAGAGCAAACGGGCTGATGCTCAGTTCGCTTTCTCTTCTTTGCTCATTTGGGGCCCCCAGGCCATGGGATGATGCCATTCAGTGTGTGTTTTCCACCTCAGCTAACCCACTTCCTCATAGACACGCCCAGGGCTTCATTTCCATGGTGATTCGAAATCCCATCCAGGTGACAAGATTAACCAATCATCATGAGAACTGGGGTTCGGTAGAGTGGCTCACGTCCTGCCTGCTCTTCCCACAGGTGTACCACATCAGTGAGACCAGGGGCCTCCTGAAAACCATCAACTCAGTACTACAGAAGATCACAGACCCCATCCAGCCCAAGGTGGCTGAGCACAGGCCGCAGACCACAAAGAGGCTGTCCTACCCCTTCTCCCGGGAGAAGCAGCACCTGTGAGTGAGAAGTCTAGGCTGACTCCCCATCCCCCACAAGCCCCCGCACACCCCCGAAAACAGGGGAACATGTTCTTAGAAGTGCTGTGTAGCTGCTGAGCCCAGAAGAGGCTGAAGAAGCATCTTATTCCTCCTCCTCCTCCTCTTCTTCTTCCTCTTCTTCTTTTTAAGATTTATTATTTATACAGTATTCTGCCTGCACGCCAGAAGAGGGCACCATATCTCATTTTAGGTGGTTATGAGCCACCATGTGGTTGCTGGGAATTGAACTCAGGACCTCTGGAAGAGCAGACAGTGCTCTTAACCTCTGAGCCATGTCTCCAGCCCAGAAAGCAACTTCTGAGTGCCCTTAGTCACAGGGGAAAGAGGGATCACTGAGACTTGCCTGGATTACTAATGTTTAGGGAAAACGACCTAGGCCCTGCCTAGAGCAGAGGTCTAGGTTAGCGTTGTCTCTCTGAGCACTGGTTCTTGGTCACAAAATTATCAGCATCCCGAGTGGAGCAGCTGGTAAGGCGGCGATTGAGTGAGCAAGAAGCCTCCCTCCAGGGAGTCCCAAAGGCCCTGGGGATCCGCAACTGCAGTGCGTTGCCTGGCAGTGCTGAGCCTGTCATGGACCCTCCATCCTCCCTGTTCCCAGGGGGCAGTGGTGCATAGCCACCTGGCTGGGCAACAGCAGTTGCAAGGCCTCCACGGGCCTGGCCTTGCTGGCAGAAATGGGAGAGAAGGCTTGGGTACCAGGAACTCAGGTAGTTTGCATGGCAAGGCCCAGGGGCAAGCAGCTTTTGGGTGCTTTGGCCTCAGGGGTGGTGGGGGGGGGGCAAGGAGCATGCAGCCACAAGAGGCCTCTGCTCTGCAAAGACAGTGGTGGCTGTGGGGGAGCCATGTGCTGCCCTGACCACACTGACCACTCTTTGGCAGACTGGACATGCTGCCCAGCTACCCCTGCCAGCTCAGGGGCATGAAAGGGCCACACCCATTATCCAAACCCAGTTCATTTCCACGCTCTGCTGCTCCACTAAGCACCCCAGAGGATGGTGACTTTAAAGCTGTTCTTTGTGCCCCAGAAACCTCAGGCAATCTCTGTAAGGCTCAGGACACCTGAACGCTTTCCAGGGAGAGCATCCTCAAAGCTGAAACCATCATGTGGAGGGATGACCCTGTCCTTGCCACTGAAAGAGGGGCTTAAGAGACTACCTTCCAGGGCTATGATCAAAGCAAGGCTTGGCCGAGCCACACATGCCTGCCACTCCAGTACGAAAGAGGTGGAGGCAGGAGGATGAGGCATTCAAGGCTATCCTCAGCTCCATGGCTAGTTGGAGGCCAGCCTGGGCTACATGGGACTGTCTAAAGCAAAACAAAACAAAAAAGTCAGAGCTGGAGGGTACCCTCAGTTCCCTTCTCAGCAATGAGAGGTCTCAGAGCCTTCCACATATGGCTGATAAGAACCACTAACCCCATGCCCAGGGACAGGGGGACATGTACCTGCTATGAGGAGAGTTAGGCCCCTCATGGTCACTGTTATTGGAGAAAGGACGAATCCCCAGGCTTGGAGCCCCCTAAGGCCTCCAGCAATCTCCTTGTCTCCTTCTGTTCCTACAGATTCGACCTGACCGACAAAGACTCCTTTTTTGACAGCAAAACCCGGAGCACAATAGTGAGTAGGCGTCCTGGAATTGCCTCATCAGAGGGTGCCCTGGGGGACCCCGGTGATCATTTCATTTCTCTGAAACTCCTCGGGGTGGAAGCTGGCTCTAATTGCCTGTGACAAAAATAATTAGAATAATGAATCAGGAGGGCAGTGGGTGGCCCAGGGGAGGGAGGCCCTGGCTGCTCCTTTTGGAGGAGGAGCGTGAGAAAGAGCTAAGCTGCAGGAAGCTGGGGGAGGGGACCTCCAGGACAAGCTCCAGCTAAGCCTGCAGAGCCCCCTTGTCACTCTGTCCTGGTAGAGCCTGCAAGACTTGGCTGAGGATGTTGGAGCAAGCCAGGCAGCCCAGGCACATGTATTAGGAGACTATCCCAAGGCCTTTGCCAGTGCAGCCAGCCTAGGTTGCAATCTGAACATGCAGGCCACCCTGCCCTAGTCAGGGCACTGGCCTAGTGTTTATCCTTCAGCTGCCAGTTTGACTGCCAGCCAAGCTGGGACTGTGCGTGGCACAGGACCCAATTTCTATCTAAATAAGAAATTCATGGGGTAGTTAAGGCCTTCTCTGTTCTCTTCTCCCGCTTAGAGCATCCAGCCTGGCTGGGTCACACAGGGCTGAGGGGAGGCAGTGCATATGCCTGGTGCAGGGAATTCATCTTGGAGCTGCCACCCTGCGTGCGTGCGTGCGTACGTGTGTCTGACACATGAGTCCTGTTGGTGAGAAAGCCTCAGACCCAGGGCAGGCAGGTGCTTCCCTCTGCTGCCTCTTCCCTTACCTGTGCCTGCAAGAGAGTTCCCAAACCTGTGTCAGAACAGGACTGATGCTGGTTTGTCCCCAGTCAGGGCAGAGAAGGCAGCATCCCCCATCAGGGCAGTCCCAGAGGCACCAAGTGGTCCTGCTATCACTGGTGGTGTTCATTGACTTCCTTATTGGGGGTGGTGAGGCACGGGTACCATAGTTCATGTGTAGAGGTCAGGGGACCACCCAAGGGAGTTGTTTCTCTCCTCTGGGCATTGAACTCAGATTGTCAAACTTGGCAGCAAGAGCCCTTACCTGCCGAGCCGTTTGATTCGTTTTTACAATTAGACTTCATGAGACAGGCAGCAAGGAACTTGAGCAAAGACATGGCCTCTGGTGGCATTGGGACTGGTGTGTTTGAGGGGCAGCCATACCCCCTCTTGGCCTCCGAAAGGAGCTGGGGCTGGCATGTCTGAGAGACAGCCTCTCAGACATCTGCTTCTCAGGAGAACCGCTGGTGTGATGCACACAGTGTCTCTTCCAGGTCACTGTAAGAGCTGTGTGCCCATGCTTTAGTGTGCGTGCACCGACCTCAGCTTTGCGCAATTTCCAGGGTGTCAGATGCCGCCAGAAGAACATTTGCAAACACACTTCTCCTGCTGGGAAGTGACAAGCAGAAGGGGCTGTGAGCAATGCTGACACCCTTCCTGGTGACTAGCTGTGAGGAACCTCAGTCTGAGGTTCCACTGGGTGAACGTTACTGTTTCCATTGAGCCAGAGAGCCATGACTCTGGGGACAGCAGACATAGAGAGCCATGACTCTGTTTCCCACTGGAGGAAGGAAGGAGGGACACTGCCTCCAAGAGACCCTGGAAGCCTGTGTGTAGACCACCTCTGTGCTCCAAAGGCATCTGCCGATTCACAGATGTGTGCAGGGATAGTCAAGTCTCCTGGTTTAGACCCGGGTGTGGCATTCTCTCCCTCCAGACTGGCCATGTCTCTCCTGACATTGGGGTGGCCCCATGTGCAAGCTGTTTGGAGTCAGAGACCAGCAGGTTCCAAGACACAAGGGCCCATTGTGCTCACTGGGATCTCGGACGGTGGACCTCTAGGCAGTGGGGAGCCATAAAAGGTTGCTGGGCAAGGTTTTTATGTAAGCTATGTTCACTCCCAGGGGTCAACTGTGGGGAGTAGGTAAAAGCATGTGGGGGGGGGTCACATGTGCAGATGGATGGATGTGTGTCATGTGGTGGTAAAGGTAGATGGGATGGATGTGGGGTCACATGATGGAGGCAGATGGATGTGGAATCACATGGTAGTTGAGGTGGATGGATGTCGAGTCACATGGGGTGGATGCAGGCGGGTGTGGGGTCCATTGGTAGTGATGGATGGATGTGGGGTCACATGGTAGTGAAGAGGCATGGATGGGGGGTCACATGGTGGAGGAGGATGAATGTAGGGTCACGTGGTGCTGGAAGGGGTTGGACGTGAGGTCCTTGGTGATGGATAGATGTGGGGTCGCATGGTAGAGGTAGATGGGTATGGGGCCATGGTGGTTGTCATGACTGTATGAGTGGAAAGGAAGAGGTGGTTGTGGAATGAGCAGAAGATCATGATGAGTTAACAGACGTAGAGGGTACCACCGAGAGTCCTGGAGAGCAGGGATCTATTAAGTGCCTGCAGTATGCTTTCTCCTGGAAGGAGAAGAGATGTGTTGAGAGCATCAGTCCCAGGGCAGCTGGTGAAGGGAAAGCGGGATGACAGCACAGATGGAGATAGACCTGTGAAGGTGACTCTGGGACCACTTAGAGCTGTAGGGACAAGTGCTCCTTACAGAGGCTGCAGGTGGGAATTAAGAGCAAGAGGGGGGGCAGCGAGAGGCTGGGGCTGCCGACAGAGGAGACAAGGACTGTAGAGACAGATGTTGCCAGCCTAGGGGCCAGTGGAGGGACACTGGTCTTGCCTGAGTGAACCCAGCAAAGGGTTGTGAGGGAAATCAGTGTGCTCAGAAATCCTCATCACATAGCCCATGGACAGAGCTAGGGTCTGTGGCTCATTTGGGAGAGTGCTCGCCTAGGTCACAGGAGGCCCCGGGTTCGATCCCCAGGGCCACATAAACCAGGGGTGGAGGTGCAGGCCTGTAATCCCAGAACTTAGGAAGCAAAGGCAGGAAGATAAGAAGATTGAAGTTATCCTTGACAATATGTTTGGGGCCAGCCTGGGCGACATGAGACCCTGTCTCAAAAATAAAATAAAACTAATTAGGCCATGGCTGTTATTCCAAGCTCATTTTTTAAAGAGTTAAATTGGGGCATGAGAGGGGAGGAGGGAGCACTGTGCAATTTGTATGAAATCTCCTAACTCAGCCCAAGGCAAACAAAACTCTTCAGCCAGGGGTCCCGAGACCACCAAGCAAAAAAATAATCTTATTAGTCAAAGATATGTGAAGAGGGATGGGATCTCTTCCTGGGGGCTTCTTTCCTGGTGCCCAGGGTGGTAGGAGCTGGAGATCCATGCCCACACATGGATCTTGCCCTCTTCTGGGCTTCTAACCCTTACAGAGACGTGTGCAGAGGGCTCTCTGCTCCTGCTCTTGTCTCCACAAAGGGGGGCAGTGAGCAGCTGCAGGGCACCGAGACAGTGTCCCCCACTCCCTTAGGAAGGCATCCATGCACATGACTGGCACCTTGTGAGGCTAGTCCTGCGCCAGGAGGTGAAGGATGACCCCTACTTGACTAACCCCTGGGCGTCACCTGCTGGTGTCCCAAGCCCAGGGCCCTCCTGGTACCCTGTGACTTTGAGCCTTTGCCTGGCAGAGCAGCAGAGTAACGGCTCCCCTTCTTGTCCCTCCCTGTGCACTAGGTCTATGAAATCCTGAAGAGAACGACTTGCACGAAGGCCAAGTACAGCATGGGTAAGGACACTCTGTGGACCTGAGGTCAGCGAGAGTTTCTCGGTGGCTGTCCTTCCTCTCAGTGGGAGGTGGTCGCCTGGCTTGGGGCTTCCTCAAAGAGATTTGATTTAAGCCTATGTTGGTTCAGGAGAGAGGGATGGGAAACTAGCAGAAAAGCCGTGCCAGGGTCCTGTTCCCAGTGGGTTTATAGCTAGGCGTTTTACATGCTGAAGGGCTCTTCCCTTGGCTGAAGGTGTTTGAGGGTATAAGGTCAGGGTCCTGCAGAGAGACCCTAAACCATGGAAAAGAAACAGACAAGGCTCCCAACCCATCTTTGATTATAAGTTCATCAGGAAGGAATAACAAGGGTGTCTCTTGGGGACCACAGCCCAGTTCTGGCCATTGGAAATAGCAGTCCAAGAAGGGCAGCGGCCAAGCCCTTGTGTGAGCTGGCTGAGACAGGTCATGCCACAGGAAGGGTTCTGCCAGCGTTTAGGAACTGCAAGTGGCCTGACTGCTATGGCCCAAAGGTAGCCACAGTGACACTCTGAAATGTCTAAGCCCATATCTTGATTCATTGGGAGTTGGGGCCCCAGCCAGGAACCCAGGAGTTCTGTCCCCATTGGCCTGGTCTCTTCAGACAGTGGGGACCTCCAGAATGAGCATGTCTTGCACTCTGGGTGAGTGGAGCAGGAGGAGAAAGCAAACTCAAGGGCTTGTTCAGGTTACCACTGTCAGAGCACAGCTATGACAAGGCCACCAGAAGTAGAAAGGGTACATGACTCCAGTCCGGGCACTATCAGGTCCCATCCATAGAAATGTGACTTCTGTAAAGGTCTGTAGAACCATGGCTGGACTGGAGCCGACCCCTGTTCTAGCTCAACCCTGAGGTAGAGGCTGGGTTGGTTCCTACCCAGATTTTTGCTTCTCTCGTTCACTCACCTGTGGGTGGAAGAGAGAGATCAGGGTGCCTTTGAATCCCCACTTCATGTTGGTTGGCAGCTGGCCTGGAGCTCTGCTAACCTATAAAGTCACTTACCCTCTATCAAGCAGTGACGGGCTCCTGCCGGCCCCTGTCTGTCCAGGGCCCCCCTTAAGTACTTATGTTCTAGGGTAAGGAAACAGAGAAACTAGAATGCAGCCTCACAGACAGGGGGCTGAGAAAGCTCAAGTAGTTAGGAGTCATAGTCAGGGTAAGCCTCTCAGGCGAAGACAGAGGCTTGAAGAAAGGGCTTGGTGAGTCCAAGCAAGGGCCCTGAGGAGATTCACCCTGGTTGCACCTGTGAGGAGGCCACAGGCCAGGATCCAGCTCCACAGGCCTCACTCTTGACGTGAGGTGAACTTTGCACTTGTGAGCGTGGCTTCAGCCATGTTCTCCGGCTACCTGTGGTTTTGATCCCTAAGTGTCCCTCAGGGCCTCTGGCTATTCCAGGTCATGTCCATGGAGATGAGCCTTGTTTAGGTTATTTTTCAAATGTTAATGAGCTGTGTTGCATAGAGTCAGCTGAGAAAAGTTGACCCACAAGAGGCCAGCCTAGGGTCCAGTTTCTCTCCCCTCTTCAGCAGCAGGTTCCAGAGCCAGGCACAGCATCTGCGCCAATGGACAGGTTGTAGATTTTTATTTCTCCTATGCCAGTGTGGGCTCTGGGCCCAGCCATCTTCCTTCTGCCCTGAGTCCTTGACTGTGAGCCCCTTGCCACCACCAGCTTTGTCTCCCCCACGATGTAGCTTTGACCCTTCCAGGCCCTTCTGTGTAACTAATAGCCAATGTGTAAACAGGGCAAGGAGAGGGAAGAAGGAAGGACTCTGCCCTTCTAAGTAAACGGCGGAAGTGTGGGAAATACGGTAAGAGCGGGGGCCTCCTCTTCCGCTTCTCCCATCAACTTACAAGCTAATTCCAAATTGTATGTGTGTTTCCTGACACCATCAATTTCCCATCCGTCCATCTTCTCATGATCAGCTTCTCTGACCGCTCGGAGGCCATCTCTCTTTCCATCTGCAGGCTCTCCCTCAGGCCGGTGGGGGTAGCTGGCGAGTCCGAGGTTTGGGGGTGACCGGACTACTCCTGCCTCCTTCCTCAGGGACAGAACTTCCTCTTGGGGTGTGCTCTGCGTCTTCTTAACCCTGCCAATCAAGCATGTTGAAATCATCTCTAGTGGATAGCTAACTCGCCCTGCTGCCTTCTACCCGGGGAAGAACCCCCCAGGATGGTGACCGGGCTCTGGGTAGTCTGGTGCGTCTGGCTTCGAGCAGCATCCCTGTGAGCAGGAACGCCCTGTGATGGCTCTGACTTCCAGATGCGGGGCAGCAGGCCTGCTGGTCCTTAACTTCCCTCTACCTCTGTTTTTAAGGCATTACCAGCCTTCTGGCCAATGGCGTGTACTCAGCCGCGTACCCTCTGCACGATGTAAGTAACCTTCACACACACGGTTAATTTCTGCGTCGTTTGACCCCGCCCCACCCCCAATGTTCAAGGACCACACCCCCTTGGGAGCTACAATTATCCTGTGGCCACAGCTTCCTGCGTGGCCTCCTCCGTCCCCTCTCAGTGGGAGCTGGAAAAGTCACACACAGAGCTGTCCTGGCTGGCAGAGCAATCCCATGGAGACAGGGGCGGCTGTGGGAGACGCCGGGCTAGCTTCTTCCATACCTCAAAGCTAGCTGATCCACAGAGTGTTTGCCCTGGCTCGAGCTCTGGGCCCCAGGCTCTGGCGGTCACCAGGGAATGGCCAGCTTCCTGGGCTGAATATCCTGATCCAGCTGGCCTTTTGCTGTGGCCAGGGGTGAAGACAGGGAACAGAATTCTCTCCTTATCGTCTTTTTGGAAACAGATCAGGCTGTGGTGTGTGGGCCTCAAACAGAGACTCCTTGGAACTTGCCAATGTGGAGGGTAGCACAGACCAGGGCAGGAGAGAAAAAGGACAGGGCTGAGGGGCAGCAGACATGATCCCATGCTGCTCTCTGGCTTCCACTGGCCTTGAGCAGTCTGCTCAGAGACTTGTTGTCCTAGTAGAACTAGTGCCTGCCTAATGGCAGGGCAGATGTGGTGTCAGGCAAGAAACCACTTTCCAGAGGAGGCAGGATTGCTGAAATAGTACATGGGGGATCTTGGGGAAGAGGTCATACTAGGTGTGTCTGTCACCTCATCTTCCTTTCCCACCCCCAGCTGGAGCCTTCACCACCTTAGAGCCAGGGATTTGGGGTCCATGGGCCCGGCTTCCCTACTTTCTGCCTTTGCGTGTGATTGCCTACCAGCAATGCATTTCCCGGCCTCTTCTCTCCAGCACCCTTGATTTCTTCCTCCCTCTCCTGTCCTTCCAATGCCCCTTATCCCACAGGCCACCATGGGGGGGGGGGGGGTTGAGGATGGGAAGGTATTGTGTTGTCGGGACTCTGGCCCTCTGACCTCCTCCGCAAGAGATATGTTGCCTTGTGAACATTTCCTGGGAAGAGCCCTGACTCCTCAGATCCTGACAGTACTCCTAGACCCTTCCATAAAGTCCCCATTGAGCTTGCTTCTCTGTAGGATGCCACTGGCTCTAAGATACAGCCTTGCTCAGAGCAGGCAGCCTAGCTCTGCCTTGCCTTCCCTGGTATAGCTGGGGCCCAGAAGCTAAAGTGCCTGGTATAGTTTAAGCTGGCCCTTTAAATCTTAAAGGGAACAGATTAGAATATACCTCTGAGAACCTACTGCATGCCAAGTACTGCATACAGTAGAAACTTTATCTCATTTGATCCAATGCAGACAGAAACTCAGAGAAGTTTAGTTACTTGTGTGAAGCCACAGAATCCCTGGGAGGGACCGGGGATAAAGACCACTTGTGGTTGGCACCTGGCTGCGTGCCTAAGTGGTACCATGTGTCTTCTTTCACCGAAGGTCAACTGCTCCGTCTTCGAGGAGAAGATCTGCCATTTTCCCTTACCCAGCGGCCATGTGAAAACGTGTGTGGTGGCCGCACTTCCCACATTAATCATGGGGAGGCAGGGGCTTGTGAAACTCAAGCAGTCTGTCCAGGAAATCACAGCCTGGAAGCAGAGCCCAGAACCTTTGGAGAGAAGGAACTCTCCACCCATAAACCTTGCAAGCAACCGAAGAGCATCCATCCCGTTAAAGCTCACACTGAAACAGCTAGGGAAGCCAGGAGTGATGTCACACACCTGTGCTCTCATCACGCGGGAGGCTAAGGCAAAGGGATGGTGAGCTTGAGGCTAATCTGAGCCACACACTAAGACCTTGTTGTAGGGTCTAGGGGAAGTAGCTCCTCTGAAGGGAGCCCCGTGTCCTTAAACAGAAGGCACAGCTTGAGCGTCTGGCAGACTGGGCCAGCAAGGGATTGGTGGCCATGTTCAATGTACTTTGATGCTTGCTTGCATTTTCTGCATTCATCTTTTAAGTTGTCCTCCATCCATGTTTCCGTCTTTATTCCTGGCCTGGGACATCCTCGCCCTCTCCCCATCCCTGCGATCTGTTCATTCTTACACCTAATATCTCTAGACAGATGTGAGGCACTGCAGCCAGCTGGGTGGCCAGCGTTAGTCCTGTGTGCCGACCAAGAGTCACCTGTTCTGAGCGAGACCCTGGGGAGCTCTCCAGTAATTGGAGGTATCACTCGCGTAGAAAGGCTGGTGACATTTGTGTTGGCTGCTTGGTGGTTTCTCAGCTTCCTTCCGGGTTGGCATCCGCCTGCCTTCAGGTCACCACGACAAGCCTCTGGTATGAATGAGTCCATACTGGAACCATGAGACTCATTCATGAAAAGACCCAAAGGATCTGAGCCTGGGTGGAAGAGGAGCCCCAGGAATCCAGAAGGAAGCTGACCCTCCTGGCCTCAGACCCTGGCAGTGGGCCGCTTGCTTGAGGGCATGGCTAGATCTTCCCCCTCTGGCAGGGGGTGCCAGATGCTGAGAATGTTGCTGACTAATGGAGGGTGCCCTAGACTGACTCTAAAAGGCCTAAAGGCTAGCAAAAGCAGGTGGCTGGCCCAGGCCAGGTATATGTGGTGGAAATTGCTGGAGAGAACCACTCTCTTGCTGTTCCTCTTTAGTGGTTTGGAGAACTCATTTTCAACTTTGGGATCCTCTTTTCCTTTGACTTTAGAGATCTGGTTGTAAGCTCCAGGTCTAACCAAACTTAGCTGTGTATCCTTGGTTGTGTCAGGCTGCATCTCTGAGCCTCTGGCTATGGTGCACTCAAGGATCTAGAGATACAAAAATTGTGTAACTTACAGTGAGATACTGGACAGTCAGCACCTAGGCAGGGCTCTGGGAACTTCACAGAGTACATCAGGTGTTCTTGTTGGTGGAAGAGTTTCCTTCCCCCCAAAGCCCCCATTTTTTGTTTTTTTGGCCCTGCCAACTTCAAGGCATTGTCATGTGTGTCCTCTTGGATCCTACTCTGTGTCAAGGGAAGACAAAGCTTGAGGAAGAGGAATCTGGTGTCAGAGGCCAACTAAAGTGCCTACAAGACTCACACAACCCTGACCATGGAGGAGGGGCACCTGGTCAACCTCACCCTCTGTAACATGGTTGGAACTTACTTTTGCTTTCATTCACAGGGAGACTATGAGGGTGATAACATTGAGTTCAACGACAGGAAAGTAAGTGTTCGAAAGCAGCGTGGGAGGCAGGGCTGGGAAGGGCGAGTGCATGGGGGCTATCTATTTCCTTCCTACAGTCACTTCATCCTGACCATGCTTCTTCAGATCCTGCCCCTTCCTCTCCACCTTCCTCTCCCACACTGGCTGCCGGGGGAACCCCTGTCTTGAGGAGTTACTCTGTACTGTGTCCCTGGTTCCTGTGGCTGTTGAAGGTACCTGGCCTCACTCTACCAGCTTTAGGATCAGTAAACATGGATTCGCAGTGACCGCTTTTCCAGAGAGCCACAGTCCCCACAGCACCCTGGGGAACTGTTTTTCTGGTGTTCAAGCTTACCTGGGCCCTTTTGAATGGAGAAGTTACCAGGCAGGAGTTCATGGAATTCTGGGAAACACTACGTGTCATTCTCTGCCGAGCCTCCTCATTTCTCCAGCAGTCCAGAATCCTCACTCTGCCCAGGGCATCTCCAAGAAGCTGCCCCCACATGAGTGTTTGCCCCCAGCTGCCTGCTCCACACTCAGGAATGTTCCTTCCCATTGCCAGTTACTTCCAAGCAAGGCTGTCTGCTAAACAAATGCAGGCCTCCCTCCTGAAGAGGGAGCCCTTCCTGAGCCTCTGCCCCACCCCTATCCCTGTGCAAGTGGTTCGTTAGGTTCTCCCTTGTGAGCCTTACAAAAGAGGCCTTGTCCCCACATCCCTGGCCTGGGGACCTCTGGGTGGCATGTCCTTCCCTCTCAGACTTCCTCCAGCCCTAGGCTTGTTTTTAAATGACTAGTACTTGAAGCAACTTGTCTGCCCGGGAATCTAGCTGAAGATTCTATCTGATTTAGCATTCAAATGACATATTTGGTTATTTTTAGTGTTCCATCTGGCATTCATCTGAGACCCCATGACCCGATGAACTCCTCTATCCAGTCCTGCTGGAGCAGCACGGTCCACTCCATGTCCTAGCCAGCTCTGGGCTCAGAGTCCACCCCCTCACCCCTTGTGGACCTCTTTGCTGAGGTCCTTCTTCCATAGACGGCAGCCACCCTATTCTCCCCCCCCCCATCCTATCCCCCTACTCTCCCCAGGGCTGCAGCCACACCAGCCATCACACTGGTTTCAGTAATGCAGATGATAGTCACACCAGGCGGGGAATATCTATAACTTATTCAGATAACTTCCCGGTTCTGCTGAATGCCAGGTCCAGCAGCACAGCTCCGTGTTGTCCAGACCCAGCAATCAACTCTACTGGAAATGTCCCGCAAACCAAATGAATTTTATATCCCAGCAAAGAGTATAAGGCATGGCTAAAAATGATGGTTAAGTGGGTGAGTGATCATAAGTTGGATGGATAGATGAGTGGGTAGGTGGGTGGATAAATGGATGCATGGATAGCTAAATAAATGAACGGATAGATGATGAGTGAGTGCATGAATGGAGGAGTGGATAAGTAGATGATATAAGGATGGATAGTAGGTGGAGAGAAAGATGAGTGGATGGATGGATGGATGGATGGATGGTAGGTAGATGTGTCAGTGAGCAGATATGATGGATGGAAGGAAGAGAGGAAGGTTAGGTAAGTATTTTGGTCCTATCACAGAACGTCTGCTCTTCCATGATGGCTCCATTTTAAGTGGCTTGGTTTGAGTGAAAATTTTCCCTTTTCTGTGACCAATCTTTGGCTTCTTCCTTGTTATTCCCATCCTCTCTGTGGATAAATAGACAGATGATTGGGTGTGTGGGTAGGTAGATGGTTCTAAAGACGGCTTGGCAGATGAATGGATGAGTGAGAATCCCTGAAGCCTGACCCTGAGTACCTGACAGGACTAATGAAACAAAATACAGCAAGGACATCTCCTGGGCTGGGCGGTGTGTCAGTGAGGTGTCTGCCAGGGGCTGGTATGAGCAGGGATCAGCACCGACTTGCTGCCTAGATCATAGTCACCAGGGGTCACAGGCAGCTTCTAATCCACACCAAGGCAAAGGCTAAATCAAACGCAGGACACACACCTGAGCAGGGGCATTGCCGCAGCCAGATGCTGGGTCATCCTGAGGCTAGTGAGGGTCCCACAGGTAAGGGCATAGCCAGACCTGTAAGGAGGGGGGCTCTGCCACGTGGGAGATATACAGATGTGGCTGGAGTGAGCCTGTCCTGTCCTGGACTAAGAGCCACAGGTCCAAACTCATTCTTCATCTGTTCAACAGTCAGTAAAAATGGTTCCCAGCCTGAGCACTCTCTGCTGCCCTGAGCCCTACTCCTCTAGGCTAACAAAAGCTGAAGGGGCCCCACAGGCAAGTGACTCTCCCTGTGAGCTCTTTGCCTGACAGTAAGGGTGAGGGAAGTTACCTCAGAGCAGGAAGTGTTCCACAGTGTGGTACTCAGCTAGAAAACGGAGTGTTCTCCCAACCTCTGTCATGATGATGACAAGCCTGCAGAGGCCACACAGGCCAGCCAGACCCCATGACTGAGGTTACAGGAAGTGGTCAGATCCTCCTGAGGTGGTTTTTGAACACTTCATTTCCAAGAAGCTTTCGAATTGTTGCCCTTGTCCATCTTTCTTTTCCTTCCTCCCTCCCTCTCCTTTTCCCAACTAGATCTCCCTGCTTTCCCTTCTCCTCCATCTTCCTCTGTCTCTCACCCCTCCGTGCTTCCCTCCTTCCCTTCCTCCTCCCCTCAACTACATTTCCCTGGCTCTCTCTTCCTCCTTCCTCTCCTACCCCAAGTCTCTTTCCCTGGTTTACAGCCCTCTCCTCTGATGAGTGTCTGTCCTCCTTCCCCACTGCCATCAGTTTATGGCACAGAGCAGTGTGTAGTGTCAGGTGAGCTAGTGGCTGCTGGCTGGTCACCTGTCAGGGCTGTAGTATAGATTCCTCAAAGTTGGCAGGTGGCCTACTTTGCTCTCTGGAGAAAGCTGTAGGCTTCTCTCATGTCTGCATAACCTGTGCAGATCATAGTGATGCACAAGAGACGTCAGGCTCCCACAGTGACCCAGGAGGAAAGAATGCCCCTTTGCCTCTGCTACAAAGGAGGGACAGAAGAAGCAGGTCTGCCTAGGGCTCCCTCAGTCTTCCCTGGCTCAGCAATGCTGATACTTCCTCTCAGGTTCCTACTGGGAACCCTCTCTGAGGCTATGGTGGTGCTCATGCTACATGAGCCTCATCTGGGACTTTAGGGCCAGAGAAGGCCATGCTGGTAGCAAAGTGGCAGGCAAGTCTCAGCTTCACAGCAGGACTTTCTGCTCCTCACAAGTGTCTCTGGCTCTCCCTTGCTTTCTTTCCTGTTTCCTGGAGGCATGAGGGCTGCCTGTGAGTGAAACATACAATCATGACCTGGCAGAGCTGTAAAGGGAGCGTCAGGAAGGGGCTGGGCATAGTGCTCCATTGGTAGAGTGCTTGCCTAGCATGGAAAAGGTCCTGGGTGCGCTCCCACGTGCTGCCTAAACAGGGCACGGTTTAGGCATGATTGCACCTGCAATCTTAATTAGTACTCAGGAGTTGAAGGCAGGAAGATCAGGAGTTCAAGGTTATCCTCAACTATACAGCAAAGTCTTGGCCAGCTTGCAATACATGAGACTCTGTCTCAAAAAGATGAATACATGGATGGATGGATGGATGGATGGATGGATGGATGGAGATGATAGATTATTTATAAAGATAAACAGGTAGATAGATGTTATAGTTAGATGATAGAGACAGAATCGATGATGATAAAGATGATAGATTGTATATGATAGATATAGATAGATGATAGAGACAGATAATAGATGATAGATAGATAGATAGATAGATAGATAGATAGATAGATAGATAGATAGATAGGAAGGACCCCCCTCCCAATTGTAGACCCTCTCTTGGATAGGTAGGTCATGCTGCCTACCTATCTTTCATCTTCAAAGAGTCACATGAATCAGTCTTTCCCCTCTGCTCTGGACCTTTTCAGTCAGGCAGTGAGGAGACCATAGCCACTGAGGGAAACTGAACAGACGGGGCACTCAGGTAGCCAAGAAGATGGCCAGCTGGGTTCCCTGCCTGCACATAGTGCCGTCCTGCCCCATCTAAAAGATCCTCGAGGTCTGGGGTCAGGGACCCAACTATCTGACCTCATGTCACCCTGACTTTCTCCTGAAAGGTCCCACATTCTAGTAGTCACATGGGAGTCAGGGAGTCCATACATCCAGTCCATAAGAATGTCTAGGGTGATGTTTTCATGCACAACCACACCCAAGCATAGAGAACCATCCCACCCTGATTTTTAGATCTGAATGTTAAAGCAGAAATGGATCAGTTGGTAAAGTACATCTCTCATAAGCAGAAGGACCTGAATTTGATCCTCAGAACTGTGTGAAAAATAAATCAACGTGGTGACTTTCAAAGGAAAACAGGAGGGGTCCTGGGGTGCTGTGGACAGCCAGCCTAGTCTAACTGGTGAGCTCTAGGCTAAGGAAAAATCAAAGGAGGTGGATGGCCTACCTGAGGATGACACCGAAGGCTGTCATCAGGCCTCCAGCATACACAGCTACGTACCTACATCTGCATACACAAACCTGTACAAGCACGCATGCACACACACACGGGGGAGGGGGACTGAAACATTTAAATAAATAAATGTAGTTGAAAGGTACAGAAAGAAGACACATCACAAGCAACCAAGTAAGAGGCAGAGACCCATGGGAGTCCACACAGCCATCCCTACCCAGTCTCCTCCCTTCTACTATCCTGATGCCAACAGAAAAAGGATGACTGAGGACCAGACAGTCCTGTCCCGCAGAAGACTGGCAGAAGAGCTCTAGCCTGGGACCCCCTTGGGAAGCATGTGGGACCAAGCCCATTACCTGTTAGTTCCTTGCCAGGCTAGGCATGGAGGGTGTGTGCCAAGGAGGGTCTCTGGGCCCTCTTACCACCCAGTCCATACACAGTAGCAATGACAGTACGCAAATAACTATTCTAGGGTTTGGGCCACTCTGTGCCATCATGAGCCACCCTGAAGCTGGACAGTGTGACGTAGGATCTGGGTGTGAAGCAAAGTTAGTAATGTGTGACCCGTTTACACACTTGGGGTTGTTTTAACCAGTAGTTTCCCCTCTCCCCCATAGTGTGTGTGTGTGTGTGTGTGTGTGTGTGTGTGTGTGTGTGTGTACATGTGTTGAGGTCAGAAGGTAACCTCTCTTCTACCATGTCCTGGGGATTGAATTCAGGGTTGCCAAGCTTGGTGGCAAGCTCCTTTGCGTGCTGGGCTGACTGGCTGGCCCTGGTCTCTTTTCTGTTGTGACAGGTGTTAAGCCTGTCTCCAGAGATGAACTTTGTGCTGTCTCTGTATGCCAGGAGATTTTCTTTCAATTTTACCATCCGTGTCTCTCAGCTTGAACATTAGTAGTTTGACACACTCTGGATAATAAACAATCTGGTATCTGATCCGGGGGACCTCTTGATGTCAGATGTCATAGATGAATTCCCAGTCCCGTCATGAAAAGCTTAAGAGTCCACAACCTTCTAGAAGGATCTTTCCCACTCCAACCCGAACCCAGAATGCCAACTCCCTCCCTGGCATTCCCCAAGCATTTGTCGAACAAATGAATGATGGAGAGGCTGGCTGAAACCCTGAAGCTCTTCCAGGGCTCAGTGCCAGTGTGTGGCCCTCTGCCAACTCCTTTCCCGTCCCTTCCTCTCTCCAGCTCCTGTATGAGGAATGGGCAAGCTACGGGGTCTTCTACAAGTACCAGCCCATTGACCTGGTCAGGTGAGTGGGGGCACCTGGCCTCTTAGGCAGTGGCTGAGGAAAGCAAGACTCAAGGCCACACCAGCATGGCAAAGTCCACGGGCATGTCGTGTCAACTGTCCCAAATATTCAGCCACCTGGGAACCTGTTTGTACTTGAAGGCTGTGTGGGCCACTGGGTCTCCCTGAAGCAAGGCAGCTCAGGCAGGGTTGGGGACACTGTCTAGTCATGTCTCCTGGAGGACTGCTGTTTGGCCATGCCTACCCACTGACTATTCTTGAGCCCTCCTCAGCCTGGCCAGCAGGGCAGCTGCTGAGATCACCAGCTTTGGTATGGTGTCAAGCAGAAGTAGTGTCTGCTTCAGTGAGTGAGAATTTGCAAGCAGGTCCGAGAGGACCTCTGGGACAGCCCAAGAGGCCAAGAGGGCGGGCAACTCCATGTCCTATGGGGGCTTGTAAATGAGAGTGTGCATGGTGACAAGAAATGTCAGCCAGGGAGGGCCAGCAGACTCTATGACAGGGGCCAGGGGAGGATTGGTTTACTTAATGCCTCTGAGCAAGTTTCATTTGTTGCATACACTGAATGGGGGGTTGGAATGGAATCCATAGCCATGGGGGCACATCTGGACCACCAGGAAAGGCTTCAGAGACAGAAGTGCGCCCTTCCCCCGACCACGGAGAGGCGGAGTCCAACCTGGTGACACAGGTGTGATCTAGAACTTGGGCGACTGAGGCAGGAAAAGATGAGGTGTTTAAAGCCAACCTGGGCTATATGATGAGGTCAAAGCCAGCCTGAGCTATAGAGAAAATCCCAGTCTTCAAAAGAGAGGGAAGGATGGAGGTTCAGCTCAGCTAGCAGAGTGCCTTCCTAGGACGCCTGTAGACCTCGGTTCCATGCTCAGCACAGTGTAAGCCGGGCATGGCAATGCAACCTGGAGCCCCAGTACATGGAAGGTAAACAGAAGAGAACCACAAGTTCAAGGTCATCCTCAGCTGTAGCATGAGCTTGAGGCCAGCCTTGGCTACCAGAGAGGTGAAGAAGGGGAGAGGTAGGAAGACAGAGAGAGAGAATAAATGTGCTCAGGGTTATAGTTTAGTGGTAGAACACTTGCCTAGCATGTGTGAGGACCTTGGTTCAAACTTATTACTGAAAAAAAAAAGAAAGAAAAATGGGTAAGTAGGAGTATGTACAAAGAATAGAGAGCACCCCAAGTCTCATAACGTATCTTAGAGCCTCACTCTCCACCACTCAGGCAGGAGAAACAGTAGCCAGTTAGAGCTTTTCCTTGCTGGGGGGGGGGGGGGGGGGCGGGACACACATGATGTGTCCCGTGGTCTAAGATGTGAGCACATCCCTGTGTTTCTTGGCATAGGAAATACTTTGGCGAGAAGGTTGGCCTGTACTTCGCCTGGCTTGGAGCCTACACCCAGATGCTCATCCCCGCCTCGATTGTGGGTGTCATCGTCTTTCTCTACGGATGTGCCACGGTGGATGAAAACATCCCCAGGTAGGCAGCAGTCCCAGGCTGTATGGGAGATGAGCAATCCCGATACTCAGGGACACCCAGGTTCTGAGGCCACACGGAGGATCTGAACAGGCCCAACCCTGTGACCAGCTGCACGACCTCAGAAGTGTGCCTCTCTGACATGGGGCTGCAGATTGGAGCATCACCACTGCTTCTAATCAGTAGAGATCCCTGTGTCTGTCAGCCGGGGAAAAGGCAGGATCTTCTCAGACCAAAAAGATCCTATCTGGCCAATTTTCCTTCTGTGGTGCTTTCATTTTATGTGTATATGAGTGTTTCGTCCGCATGTATGTGTGCACACCAAGTGTGTGCAGTACTCACAGAGGCCAGAAGAGGGCAACAGATCTCCCTGGAGCTGGAGTCACAGAGGGTTGCGAGCTGTTGTCCCAGGGAGCTTGGGCTCTGGAAGATCAGTCAGTGCTCTTAAGCACCGAGCCATCTCTCCAGCCCCTCTCGTGATGTTTTAGTATGTGACTAAGATAGCCACGCCAGTTCCCTCAGTCCCAAGCTGAAGAAAGCTTGTCCCTACGTCTGCATGGATGTTGCAAGGCTTTATAACGCAAGGATAATGCAGCGCATGCTGGGATTTGCTGATGGGGCGGGTGAAAACGGCCGAGACTTGGAGGTTGTAAGGCTGGTTGTCAACTGCCAGAGCTCAAAGCTTGTGAGACACAGGAAGTGGAGCGGGGGTGTTTCCATGATGTCCCTGAGTAGAGGGCGCTCTGCCAGCTCAGAGTGTGGACTCCTAACAGAGAGCACCAAGGTTTTTAACTCTGGCAGCTCAGCCTCCTTCAGTCACATGGTCAGTAAGGCAAGCAGTGATCATCTAGGGGCAAAGCCAATGCCCAGGCCTGTCCGACCCCGGCCTTCTGCCCCAGTTGACCTCACACGGCAGCCAGAGGCATGTAGTGCCCCCTGGAGCCCATCGGGTCAGGGGAGTGGTGGCCAGTGGTGAACCACCCTGTGCACCCTGCCCCACCAACCCTCGCTAAGTACTGGACCTTCAGGCTGTGTTTCTTGACTTTGGCAGAGTTTAAGGCCCCCAGAAAAAGGGCTTTTGTTTGGCTGCTGGCATTTTTATTGGAAGCTGAGGCTGGCGGGAAGGACAAGCCATAGAGACGCATGGGTGGGCAGGCAGGCAGACGGGTAGAACTGTGCCTTGGCACTCCCTGTGCTGGAGGCCACTCCTCAGGCCCTCTCGCCTTGCCCAGTCCTAAGCCAAGCAGACAGCACGGCCCTGGGACACAGGCTGACCCAGCAGGAACAGCCTTCCATCCACCAATTTCTAGGGAGAGGGGCCAGTCACAACTGAGGTCATGCTGCCTGACCGTCTGTGTCGGTGAGAGGAGAGACATGGGCCCTGAAGGACCAGGTCCTGGGCATCTGATAAAATTGTACTAATTTAATGCCCCAGGAGGATGGCGACAGCTGTTGCCACCTTAGAGCTAAGTTGCACCAGCCCTTGAATGGGCCCCAAATTCTGGTCTATCTTACTTCACCTTCCCAGCAACTCAACAGCATGGTGTCCCTCATAATTCAGCTCATCTAGGAAGACTGGGATACTGAGGCAGCAGGACTCAACACCCTTCCTAAGACTACACACACACACACACACACACACACACACACACACACACATACACACCAGAGCCAAGACTTGAACTTAGAACCTCAGACTCATAGCAAATGGCTCCTCTCTCCTCGGGTGCCCACCCCTCTCCCACATGTGCACGTGTTCATCACATCTCCCCAGATACTCCAAAACCACTGCCTTGGTTGCCGTTAGCCTGTCCTTATCTGCACGTCTGTGGCGAGTGACCAGTACCCCTGATGCACAAAATGAGATTGGAGCTGGTGTCCTCTGCCTTGGGCACCGGAGAGGGCTCCAAGAGAGCCAGCACAAGTATATACACAAACTCATGAGGATCCAGAAATCTGAAAAAGAAAAAAAAAAAAAAAAAGCAAAAATACTCACTTTAGCTTTCTCCCAATGGCCATCTGACCCCTGGGAATGAGCTCTGCAGCCTGAGCATCTATTTATAGATCAGGGTCTGGTCCAAGTTCGAAGGAAGGGGAATTCACGGCAGGCTGTGGCTAGAGGACAGCATTCTGGGCCTTCTCCTCATCTTCCGGAAATGTTGAGCCTGAAGCTAGAGGACTTGAGTGTGGTCACAGAGTACAGGACAGTGTAGAACACAGCCCAGAAGCCTGACCTCAGCAGGGGACCTGTGAACCTGAGAGCCAGTCCAAGCACAGGGCTATCATTCAGAGATCAGGGTTTAATTTCCACCATGCTGTGTGGCCCTAAGGAATTTACTTTTCTTCTGTGGGTTCCTGCGCCCCATCCGTGAAGTGCGATTGTAATGTGACAGCCCCCAGCGCCAGGCCAGATCAGAGGACACCAAGTAGGCTAGTGATGAGGCCCCAGTCCTCATCTTCTGCTGGTGTCTTGTAAATTCCCTGATGTGTTAGCACGAGTAGGGGAAGGCCCAGGTGCCCTGGTCTCACAGGTCCTCAACTCAACCAGGGCATTGCCTAGGAACCCAGCTGAGCCTGTGCGCTTCAATGACCAGGCCCTGCCATCCCTGGAGCCTTCTGTGTTTCTTGAGTGAACGCCTCAGGATGCTTGGGGACCTGGCAGCTTGGGGGCATGCTCCTTTGAGTCTAGCCACCCAAAGAGAGAAGTTCCTGGCACCCTTTCTCCTCTCTTTTAGCTGCCCAGTGTGCCCTGTGAGGGTCATGGCATGATGCCCAGTGCTACCAAAGAGTCACCCAGCCTGAGTGTGGCCACAGTGAGAGCCTCCTGGCTGCTGTTCACACCATCCTTCCCTTGGGCTTCGGAGCCTGACCATATTTTTTAAAACTGGTTTTTGTGCATGTAGCACAGCTTTGATGGGTCCTGGGGACAATAGGAAGGCTGCCTGGGGATCCTGGGCTATGGAGGTATCAGGAGTGTTGACCTTAGGTGTTACCAGCCAAAGGCTCACTCCAGTGGGGACACCCTGGTGCCCCTTTCTGCCCCAAGAAGAATGTGGACATGGGTGGGTGTTTTCAGACCTGGCAACATCAGGGTTCTGCTCAGGTGACGACCCAGGACTCTTCCCCAAAACCATGGGAGCTTAAGTTGAGGGTCTCAGATGGAGCCTAGGGCCCTGAAACTCATGGTCAGGCATGAGCCGCATGCCTGTGAACCTTGTGGCAGGGAGTGGGGAGGGTTGTCGAGGGACAGAGTGGCCTCAGTTAGCCAACATGCCCTGACTGTGACTACTGTGGCCACCCTCCATGGTCCCTGGAAAGCAGACTGGGACTTGAGGACTTGAGGCCACCTGGGAAGCTGAGGCCACCTCTGTCTTGCAGCATGGAGATGTGTGACCAGAGACACAACATCACCATGTGTCCTCTGTGTGACAAGACCTGCAGCTACTGGAAAATGAGCTCAGCCTGTGCCACGGCCCGCGCCAGTCACCTCTTTGACAACCCCGCCACCGTCTTCTTCTCTGTGTTTATGGCCCTCTGGGGTAAGTGGAGCCTTCGATTCAGGCCACCCACATGGCAAGGACGGGAAGACTCTCTTCTGACTTTGAGTCCGATGGTCCACAGGTCTGTATCCCGAGCATGAAGTGTGCCTTAGTGGCCACAGGTCTGCACTGTGTCTAAAATGAGCAAGGCTCTTCTAACCTGGCTGAGAGGTGTCAGCATAGCCAGGGCTCTGAGAGAGCCTGCTGTAGACTGTCACCCAGGGGGTCATGAGTTGTCTGAGGCCACCCATCTCTGCACAACAATGGCCAAATGAAACCACAGTCCTCAAGCCTGAGACTGATCAGAGACAACTGGCTGTTCACCACAGAGACTATAATCCCAACAGCCAGACTTCAACTTTGGAGACCAGCAAGGCTGGGAAGTGTGGCTGTTGGGTGTCTGGAGATGATGATAATGATGACGATGGTGGTAGTGGTGGTGGTGGTGATGTGACTGATGATGGTGCTGGTGTGGGTGGGCGCACATGCGTGCTCATGTACGTGAAGGCTAGAAGACAGCCTCACGTATTGCTCTTCAGGAGCTGTCTGCTGTCCTTGGGGGGGGGGGGGGGGTTGTTTGATTTTGTGTTACACCTTATTCGTTTATTTTTGTATGTGTGCAGAGGGGTGCACAGGAGCCATGGCATGTGTGTGGAGGTCAGAGGACAATATTTAGTAACTGGTTCTCTCCTTCCACCGTATGGGTCCCAAGGGTCACGTGAATTGTCAGGTTTGGTGGCAAGTACCTTTGCCCAGGGAGCCACCTCACCAGCCCCAGCTTGTGGTTTTGGAGACAATGTCTCTTACTGACCTGGCACTCAGCAAGTAATGCCAGACCAGCTGGCATTCCAGGAAATTCTGGGGAATACTCCTGTCTCTGCCTCCTAGGCACTTAGATTACAAGTATGTGCCACAACACCCAGGTTTTATATGGGTGGAGAGACTAAGCTCAGGTCCTTGTGCCTACACAGCAAAATCTTTGCCCCAAGCGAGCTCCCTAGCGTCCCATAGATGATTCTGACAGCAAGTGAGACAGGGCCCTTCCTTGTAAGCAGGATATTGCACAGTCTTGACAGCAGGGGATATGCCACACAGGGGCAGCTGGTTCCCACACTGGCTGCAGGTTCTGAGTATACACCTCCAGGGATCCCAGCTGATGGGAAAAGGTATGAGAAGGAAGGGCCCGGCCACTTGGTGGAGGTTACGCAAGAGGGCTGCCTGGAAGAGGTGGAAAGCTCTTGGGTTGACCTATGATAACCTTATAGGTGGCATTTGAGTCAGAGTGGTCTCGCTTTACCCACTCAGGACTCAACTGGCTGACTGGTTGCAGGGCAGGAACAAGAGCCAGGACAGCCTTGGCTGTGGGAAGCCGTAATAGACCAATAGGCTGATGATTTTGGGTAATTCTGGGTCCCTTCCCTGTCTATGCGGCCTTGGCCTGTGATTTTCCTTACTAACAGGAAAAAGCTCTCAAAGATGTACCAGAGAACCTCCCAGTCACCTGGATCTCATACAGCCCACAGTCTCCTGTCTGCCTACAGGTCCCAGTCCGAGCATCGCTCCTTGGTGTCCATGTCCTGCAGCAGCAGCAGCTCAGGCTCAGACTGGCCTACACGGCTGGGAGGCAGTCATACAGCAGGGCTATACACAGCAGTGAAGACATGCAATGGGTGAGAGTAGGGGGCCTGGTAGATTTTCCAGTCCGCCTCTGAAGCTCAGCTTCCTCATCTCTGTAAGCAGGGAATATGATCAGAGGAGGCAGGCCACAGGCACAGTGTCCGCCCATGTTCCATGAAGAGCTGGCCTTCCATGAATGGTTGCTGTCACTTGACACTGGAATATTGAGGGGTGGGAGAGGACTCAAAAAAACGCCTATGGAAGCATCCACAGAATGGGGCTTGGGAGACAGCTCGGTAGGTAAGAGCTTCTGCTGTGCAAGTTTGAGGATCTCTGAGTTCAAATCCCCAGCATCCCTGTTTAAAAAAAAAAAAAAATGATCATGACTGTGTGTGTGTGTATAGCCCCAGAACTTTGGGGGCAGTGGCTTGTGGGCTGCCAGAGTCTCTTGAGAGACCTATCAGTCAGTATCTAAAGGGTGCTGCCAAGTATTCATCACCTCAGAAACCACAAGAAGCAAGCCCAGATGTGTTCAGTGCTCTTAAGACTTAACAACGAGAATTCTAAGGAAACCGTATGTGCAAAGGCCCTGGGGGTGAGGTACAGGACACTGAAGGAGCCTGCTGCTGCAGGAAACGGGTGGGAGCGTGTCAAAGGGATCTTAGAGAGGCCAGCAGAGACCTGCCCCAAAGAACTTCATGTTCTTGCTAGGAGGAACCAGAAGCCAACACTGGGTCATGGTGTCATAGATGTTTTCCCATCTTACACTTGAGTCAGAGGCCATAAATGACAGAGAAAGTCTGACAGTGATAGGTCAGGAGGGACTCAACTGCACTGGAGGACAGTGGCCAGGGCATTCTCTGAGATGAATGTCAGACCTACAGGGGACCAGGATCCACCACGTTCCATGGGGTGCCCTGCTGCCCACCTCGGGAGGGTGTGCCTCGAGGTTGTGTGTGATAAGAGGTCTGTCCCTAGAGAATTCTAGGAAGAATGGTAGGAGGGGAGCATCTGGAGCCTCGGCCCCCTTTAAAGCTGGAGCAGCAGCCTCCAGGGGGAGGCTCCCCTAGGAGGAAGGAAGCCTCCACTGGAGAGGAGGTGTTTGTGTGACCCCACACTTCATTTGAGCTTAATCATTCCTGAGATCTCGAGAGACAGGGGCTTGGCTGCAGCCCAGATATGGAAGTCACAGCCTGCCACAGCACACGCTGGATTTGTTCATTTGCTGGTTTGTTTGGGGGTTTGGGGGTGGGCTAGAGTTGGGAGCGGAGCCTCCTGCAGCCAGTTTGATAAAGGCTGAGCTTTCGATCTATCAGTGAGCTGGGCCCCAGCCCTGAAGGGTCCCCACCCAGGTTCCACCCAAATGGCCTTACCTTGAGAATGAGAAGTGTTCACTAACAGTGAATGAAGTTCCTGTCACAGGTAGTGGATTAACTCTCCCATGTGCACAAAGCCATCCATCTTCCCTGCAGCACCTGCCCTGCCCCGTTCCAGAGAAGGCAGCACATGGTGTCTTTCTTTTTTCTTTTTCTTATTTTGATTTTTTTTTTTTAAATACTGGGTTTCATGAAGCTCACACCTAGCTTCAGACTTGATGTATAGCCAATGATGACCTTGAATTCCACATCCTCTTGCTTCTGGTTCCTGCCTGTGAGGATCGGGGATGTGTGCTGTCATGGCCATACAGTCTGCATACTCTGACCACTGTCTCCCTATGCCATCTCTCGAACACTGCCCCTCATTCCTGCCCCCTTGCTGCTGCCCTAGGAGGGAGCACACCCTGCTCAGCTAGGGCAGCCCCACAGTGGCACCCCAGCACAAACACAGAACACGCTGTCAGATTAGTCACTTTGATCCAAGTTGATCTCTAGCTTACTGGCCTGGTGACATACATAGCAGCTCAGGGATTCGTCACAGCTGCCTCCAACAGCTATGTGGCAGTAGGAAGAGACTCATGTGTGTGTGTGTGTGTGTGTGTGTGTGTGTGTGTGTGTGTGTGTGTGCCTGTGTGTGCCTGTGTGTGCATGCACTTACCTGCCATGTTTTGGTGCCATCCCAGGGAAGATGTATAGAAAGGACACTCATACCTGTACTCCATGGGGCGGGGGCTGTTTGTCTGTTTTCCTCCCAGTGAGGATAGGACTTACCATTCCAGAATTTTTCAGGGAGCTTGCTAAAGGGGCACTTCTAGAGGTTGGGCATGGTGGCACACACCTTTAATCCCAGCACTCAGGAGGCAGAGGCAGGCAGATCTCTGAGTTTGAGGCCAGTCTGGGCTATAGAGTGAGTTTCAGGACAGCCAGGGCTACACTGGGAAACTCTGTCTGGAAGGGGAAAAAGAGAACATCTAGGGCTGTGGTGCAGCTCAGAGAGAGAGAGCCTGAGCTTACCCTTCATGAAGCCCTGGGTTTAATCCCCAGCACAAAAAACAAACAAACAAAAAACAAAACAAAACAAAAACCACCTGGACATCATGTCTGACCCATGTGCTGAACAAGTTTGGTAGGCTGCCTTGTACCTGCAGACATTTGCGGCTGTACTCTTTACTGAGGGCTCTGAAACACAGGAAGGCTAAGTAATTTGCTGGAGATCAGCTCTGCATCTGTCTGTCTGCCTGCCTGTCTTGTCTGTCTGCCTCTGAAGTACAAGTAAGGGCTCTGTTTACACCTTGACATTCAAACATCCTCCTAGCCCCTGCAAGGTGCCCTCCTGGAAAAGCAGATGTATGTGCTAAGCTGGTAGTGAGGGCACACAGGCAGGAGCTGCCCAGCGTAGCTCACAGTCTGGGAATGAGAGCCTTCTCATTAAATGTGTGCATATGGTAGGCAGCCAGTGAGCCACTCCACTGAACATCTACCTTTCCAGGACCTGTCAGGGTCTGAGCCTGGGCCCAGGTAGCTCTAGCCAGCCAGACTCAGCCACCATCATCAACAGACCAATTAAACAGCTAAGTAACAGTGAAACTCAGAGAGGAGAGTCATTCAGTGAGGCCACACTGGGTGGGACGAGGGACAAAGAGGACTAGTGACCCCCAAGTCCCTCTTTAGGATCCAGACATGAGGTTCAGGCTTAAGCAGAGGGCAGGAGGAGCGCATAGCTAAGCAGTCCTGGTCAAGGTGTGGTCCTGCCTGTCACTCACCCCTCACTGTCTCAGCTCCAGTCTCTCCTGCAAGGTGGTCTGACAAGTTCTCAGAGCTCTGTGAGGTCCCTGGGAAACAAGCTCCCCCTGTCTGGCACTAGGCTTCAGCCTTTCTCTTCCCCAGTATGGGACTCCTGGGAAAATTCCAATGCTTTGAGGTCCATTGTTTGAACAGTCTGATGGCCAAAGGGAGGGGCACAGGAATCTCTTCAGAATTGCTTTGCTCCAGGCAGGATGGTGGGAG